TATTGTCTTTCATATGGAAAATGTATGAGCAGCATATGTAAATCTGCTCAAATCATTTTGCTGTTAAACAAACAAGCACATGCCTAGGGGGGACAGAATAAAGTAACTGGTCTCCCGATGATGAATAGCATTAACTTGCTTTGGCTTGCCAAGTCAGTAAGCAGTGTGAATTTAATGGCAATTAGCCCAGATCAAAGTTGAAGTACCATGAACAAAGTAGGTAAAACTGACAATATCAAAGAAGGGAAGCCTATCATGAGTGACTGAAAAAAAATTACTTAGATTTATTTATAATGTTTGGAGCTGTTAATGAAAAAGGACAGATCCTTACAAAATGTTTATTTTCAAAACAGTATTACCGATTAAGCAGATTTCTAGGAGACTGATTTCATGGGTAAATTGGCCAAAAAGTGAAGTAAACTATTCTGTAATAGCTCCCACTGTGGACACACTGCTCAGAATGATATTTTCTCAAGAAATTAAACTCTGAGTTAAAGTCAAGCATTCTCCCTCCTACCCAGCAAACAATTTATCAGGCATTCAAAGCAACAGAAAAAGTTCACAGACAGAGGCAGTTCAGAAGCAGAAGAGGAGAGAGTTCATGTGTTTTACGTGCAGTAGGCTTTAGGCATTATTAATATAAAATATTCCTCTCATTAAATCTACATGTCTTAATTAAGACTGACATTAAAAAGCTATAAATTTAAAATATACATGAATGATCTGGAAAAAAACAGCTTTGGATCTTTTATTTGTTTTTTTACTGCTTAAGGAGACCTCTACTTCCACGTAATATTAGCAGGAATTAAATCCCTATTTCAAATATTAAATGTTTACAAAACCTACAGCATGCTAATACTTAATATTTAAACTACTATCACTATAAAATTGCAGGCTTCATGTAATACCTTCCAACTAAGAGTAATTCCCATATAATTTTGCATGGATTGGTAACACGTATTTTTGAAGATGAAATGATACACAGAGAAGTTAAATAATTAGCCAGAACCAGTAAGTTAATAGAAGAAATTGCAATTAACAGAAGATTGCTTCTTTCTATTGTAATCACTAGCCCATTCTTTTAACATAGGTAAAATAATAAATAACTAAATCAAGTTGCATTCTGTTTGAATTAAATGTATTAAAGCTAGGCACAGAGAAATGGTCCACTATAATAAAGAGCAATGTATTTTTGACCTTAAGCTGAAGGGTAAAGACCCAGCAGTTCTTCAGCAATTAATCAGTGAGGTTTATGAGAGATTTGCCTGAGCAAGGACTAAGTTTCTCAGAAGATCAAAGATAACTGGTGTTACACTCTGCCCTAACCAGACCCAGATTCACACTTTCCATTACTTATTTACATTGATCTTATGACTATTTTTATAGATCCATCAGAATAAGTGTGCTTTTACTCTTTTATTAATATTTGTTTAATTAAGTTAATTAATTACAGGTTAACTGAAATGTTGTACAAAAGACCTCACGCAGCTTTCAAAGTGTAGGCTGAATCTAATCCTTTTTTTTCTTTTAACTAGCAGTAAGGATAAAGTCAATAAATTGTCAATTAATAACATACTTGCTTTGATGGCTCTTCAGTAATTTACTTTCATACCACTTCATAAATTTCTTAGGAAAACTTCTGGGATCACTGATACAGTACCTCTGCCCTGGGAAAATTTCGTTTAAATCTGCTCTACTGCCATAAAAACCAATAAGACTAACTGGCTGATAATCCTCCCACACTACACTGTTTAGGTATATGCACTCAAGCAGCAAAAGTTTAATTTGTTCCACTAATGGCACAGAAAACTACTCAAACTTATTCACCATATAAAATTGAACTTCAGTCTGCTACTTTTTGTTATTCCTTAGGCAGAAAATTCAAGCTATTGGATGCTTTGAAACTCAGACTATTTTATCTTTTCCTTGATCCAAAGCATAACAATAATAATGGACACTATCAGTAACTAAATATTAAACTGCACTTCACAGAAGAAACACAGTAAAAAGCCTTAGAAAAGTCTGAATATTATTTGCATTGGCACACTGACATGCAAGGCACATTCTATTGTTCTAAGTAGGTGTAACATTACTCTTAAACTACTAAAATCAGCCATGCTTGCTGCCTTGGACATATTTCAAACTGCCATACAATAGCTTTTGTTTAGAATTTCTAGTGGGATAACACATAGTTTATTAGGTAGAGCAGATAATGTTTGGAACATAATTTAATTTATAAAACCACATTACGAATTTAGTAAAGAAGCCATATGATGCTAAAAACCCTGATTTTCTCTAAAGTTGTATTGATAGCACTGATACTGATTAAATAAACCAAAAGATCTATTATGTATAAGATGATTTGGCACACAAAGTTCATTTAAAAGTGTTGTAGGTGTCAAATATTCATGACAGGCCAAGGCCAGGTAGACTTCCTAAAATAACTATTATATCATGAGATATTTTAGTATTATCCTATCTTATGAAGGAAAAACTACTGGGAAGTAACAGGAAAAATTCACTTCATACATATACTGATATATATATATATATATGCGCACACACTACATTTTCTCTCCCACTATACATTAAGGAGAGTTTGTCTGCATTTCCCTATAAAAAGGTCAATTGCATTGCACTGGTACTGACAGCAACTAGGCAAAATCTGTCAAAAAACAAGTGTTTGGCAGGCATTTTTCCTAGTGTATGAAGAATCAACTGGAGATTTTCCAAAGGGACTGAGTTATGGATAAAGCAAATAAAGAAACTGTCCTCCTGTTCCACTAGTAATCCTCTGGGAAACAAGAGCATCTAGAGCTAAAAAGATTTATATTTTCCCTCAAGTTGTAGCTCTCTGACATATTTATAGGGCTAGGTCAAACAATGCACTGTGGATTACAGCATCATTTTTCTAAGCTTTCCTCTCAGATCTCAACAGTACTCAGAGAATCTTATTCACAGATACAATGAGAATAGGTATTTTGTTCTCTCCTTACATTTATATATATGTGTATATACATGTACAGCTAAACACGAAAATATTTAGGAAAATTATGCCAGCATCTGGTAAATAATTATATATTTCTACTGTTTTCAACCGTAATTAAGAAATTGACTCTGGCTATTCCAAATTCTAATTGTAGTATTCCAAGTTTAGAAATGAAGGGTAGGAAGAGGGTTTTATCTCTTAAGAAAACAAACAGAATTCTCTGGAAAAAGAAAATTAGTAGGATTGCAAGCGGGGTTTGTTTCACATTTTTACTAATTAATTTTTTAATTTGTTACATTGTTTCTACTTCTCTGAAGCAGCACCAGTAGGAAGGCTTTTATGTTCCAGTGCAGTTGGGAGTCATGACCTGTAAGGTGTGAACTTCAAAACAACTACCCACAAAGGCTAGGTCCAAGGCTTGGGAACACACAAACAGCAGTCCCCCACGCTGGCTGCTATGCTATGAGCCAATAACCACCCCTTGCAAGAGCATTAAGAAACATGCAGATGTACCTCTATTAGACAGTCCCTTGCCCCATGTCGATAAGCATGGCAGGAACTCAGATGTTGCTTTATTTCTTCAAAGCCAGGTCCAAAATGCTGCTGTAACTGATTCTCTGCTACACTGGCTCCCAATATAGCAGCATTCATTTGCAAGTGTTTCACTATGGGGGGACCTCACAGAAAATGAATGAAAAACATCTTGTTCCCTTAGCATTACCTCATGCTACTTTTGTGCAAGTATGCTTCTTAATTACTAATTTCTGTGCTCTTAAAAACAAGTGTTCTGGAGTAACGTAATTGAGTTAATTCACATCTCAATACAGAGAAACCATTTATTGGAGTTAGCTGAGCTGCTGCCATTTGAGAAGGGGTGAAAACCTGCAGCAGGTCAATCCAAATACAGCCGAGCCGGTCAAGGCTACAAAGGTTAGTGCATCCTTCCTGCAAATATCCCTCCATCGTACTCTTGGAGTAGTCCAACAGAGTACCTCAGTGGAAAAGAGCAATGCAAATCACTCCAATATGTCCCAATTTTTCACAACAGCGTAAGATAAATACTATCCTCCCTGGTTATATACAATCATGGAATCGTTTTAGTTTGGAAAAGGATTAACCAGGCACTACCAATCTTAGCACTAAACCATGTCCCCTAACGCCACACCTACATCCCCACCTGGGATAATGACTCAGTCACTTCCTGGGCAGTCTATTCCAAAGCCTGACCACGCTTTCGGTGAAGAAATTTTTCCTAATATCCAACTGAAACCTCCCCTGGCACAACTTGAAGCCATTTCCTGTTGCCCTATCACTTGTTACTTATCAGAAGAGACAAACCCCCACCTTGCTACAACCTCCTTTGATGGAGTGGTAGAGAGTGACAATGTCCCCCCTGAGCCTCCTCTTCTCCAGGCTAAACACCCCCAGCTCCCTCAGCCGCTCCTCATGGGACTTACTCTCTAGACCCTTCACCAGCCTCATTGCCCTTCCCTGGACTCACTCCTCAATGTGTTTGTTGTAGTGAAGGGCCCAGAACTGGACACAGCTGTGTCAAGAAGTTAACTTCCATACACTCCAGGAACCTGTAGGCTGTTTCCTCTCCGATGTATTGTATTTCAGCAGACATCTGGTAAGTTGAAGTCCCCCAGGACAAGGGCCAGTGACTGTGAAACTTCTCCCAGCTGCTTACAGAATATTTCATTTGCCTCTTCATCTCGGCTGGGAGGTCTATAGCACACTCCCACCCTGATACCTGCCTTGTTGGCCGGCCCCCTGATTTTTAAAATAATTCACCCATCACCATCATTAAGGTCTAAACTATCAAAACACTCTCTAACATCCAGGGCTACTCCAACACCTCTCCTTATCCTGCCTTATCCCTTGTGAAGAGTTTATAGCCATCCATTGCAGCACTCCAGATGTGCAAGTCATCCCACCATGTTTCCATGATGGCAACTACGTCATAGTTATGCTGCACAATGGCTTCCAGATTCTGTTTGTTGCCCATGCTGTGTGCATTGGTGTAGATGCAATTCAGTTGGGCTACTGATCCTTCCGCCTTTTGGGGGTGACGAGCCCTAATTCCTATGAGACCGTTCTCAGGTGCTTCCATGATTTCTAAAAATTCAATAACCCTTATGTCTTTGCTGCTGTAGGATGTCCATCCCCTATCTCCAGTGAGATGACAGACCAAAGGATCTTGTTGGCACACTATCCCTCAGACAACAGTGTGCTGGCCCCAGGCTTATCTGTAGCAAGCCTGGTTTTATTCCTTCCCCCTTCAAATCTAATTTAAAGTTCTTTGAATGAGTCCTGCTAACTCCTGTGCAAAAAGTAATCTTGAAGAGCTACATCCAATAACTTTAGTAGGGCTGCCTTGGAAAAATGTAACTGAAGATGTTAATCATTATATTTCTACCTTTAAGGTGGATTATTCTTGCCTCTCAGTTTTCCCAATATAAGGAAGGAAGGCACAATCTCGGAGTTTGTGGCTTAATCTGCTGTCATTGTGTAGAAAACACCTGCTCCTTCCATCACAATTTGACTAATTCCTGAATGATCCTTTATTAAGCATCCCTGCAGTCTCATCAGCTGCTGTAAGATGATTATAAGTATCCCTGGGTAGGTACAACACAGACATTATTGTCTATCTCCCAAGTGCAACACAACGATCACACTGCTCTTACAGATATTCCAACATGCAAAACTGGATGTTCCTGCTCTCACTTCACTTGTCGTAGGAACATGTACAATTCCTGCAGTAAATGAAGAGGTGTTACTTCTGCATTGTTGATTTGGGAATTGTGAGGATACTTGAAACACATATGGCACTTCTTATCAAAAACCTCTGTTTCAAATGTAATGGGATCCACACCCTTTGGTATTGTGCTGGCATTTGAAGAAAAATTGAACAGTTAATTTACTGTATGTAATTTCAAAGAAAACATGATATCAAGCTGTGAAGACAAGGAACCTGGCAATGCCATCATCTGCAAAAGACTGTGTAAGCTGAAACACCCCAATAGTGCAAAGAGACATACATTCATTTAATACATGGCTTTTACCAGCTATTATACTATTACATTCTTAATGAGCACAAAGGCAGCATTTTTGAAACTGCTACCCATACATGGGCTTATTTTGATATTTTATGCATCTCTAGGATTACTATTCCCTCATTACAAGCACAACAAAAGTTAGAGAAAAATCTATTTGCTTCTACAAAGCAAATAAGGTCTTCAAATAAAGTTGGAATAAACTGTGCAATAAAAGTATGCAAAAAGTAGAGAAACATTCTGTTTCTTTAGTCCCAAATGTTCCAATGGCTCTAGAAAACAAAGTCTTTAACCAAGGATGCAATGACTAAAATAACACTAACCTTGGTTAGCAATTAAATGATCACACCTTGCTTCAGACTAAAAACGTAGAAAACAGCTAGTAGCTGACATCTCACTTCAACATTTTACAGCTGCTCTAAAGCAAATACTTTAGACATTTGAATGCATGCATGCATGCATCTTATTTTCCCAGGATTTCAAAGTCCACATCCAGGCTGCTGCTCAGCCATTATAAATGAGTAATTCAAGTAGGGCATGACTGCTTCTTGTATTAACTTGATAAAGATGTTTCAGTCAGAGTGCATCAACAGTTGTGTTAAGTCATCCCTTTCACAGGCTTAAACTTACTCTGTGTTATGTTACCAGTGAAGGATAACTTCAAATTATTAAAAAAGTCTTTCTACTAAATATAATTAGTATTATGATTATTATCTTTTATTACACCCATTTTCAAAACTCAGAAATATAAATATATCTTAATTATTTCCTGTTTTTTTAATTAAAAATAATTTAATCAACTGATTGTAACGTGCATTAAAGTTTCATTTCATTAGTTTAGACATGCAAGTGCTTAAAGAACTGATATGTGCACTTTAAAATACAAATCTCTTTTTAGAAAATTCCATCATACTGAAAATTATTTTGCATCCGTAAGATTTTTCAAAAGTAGGCTTTGCTTTAAAACTGCAATTTTAATATAATAGGTTCAGTTTAAGCTTATCATTTAATAATTAATTTATTATCAAACGTATGAAACAACTATTTTACAATAATTTTAATGTCTGAACAATATTAATTCAAGACTTTGGGTAAAGCATCTTTCAAATACTACAAAGAAATATTGAACATATTTAATTTTCTCGTATGAATCTTCAGGTCACAACCTGCGAGAGAAGATTTGCTCAATACTGAATTTTTCTTCTCTTATCACACCAGGGACATGACAAGAGAGCTCAAAATTACAGAAGAGAACCCATACTCTCATTTCATAAATTTATTTCCACTGAATAGATGACCAAACATGAACATAGTTACACTAGAAATAAAATGTATATATGTCACCCATAGTCCAGTGCCTTAAAGTTGTACTTCACCAACTTTTAAACAAACTGGACACCTGATGGATTATGTCTTATGCCATAGAGAAATACAGAAAAGAATAATATCCAGAGGTGGTGATCCATCACGTGTTCTCCACAACCCTGCTCACTAATGTTGAGCTGTATATTGTATTTAATAATTCATTAGATTCAACCAGATCTTCTCTTATTTTTCCAATGAGTATTGTTTCTATTTACAAAGTTTCCACTATTTTCCCCACTTTGAGGAGGAAGAATACCTATGATAGCCAGTTCTAATATTATACTTAATATTGTATTTACATAATGTTTCTGTATGGTTTAAGTGGTTTTATTCCAAAAATAAAGAGAAAAAAGGCACTTTTGAGGGCCGGAGGAGATGGCAAGAGGCAGTCAGCCTTTTACTTACTCAGATTATCATTCTGATACATATTATTAATCTTCAGAGAGTACTTTACTTTCATTTATGGTTTGTATCATATTACTAGAACATGGTCTTTTTTTTCACTGGAATGATCAGTTATCAACACCGAAATTCAAAAGGACATAGCTCAAACTCAGTCTGACTCCTTTCACGTCCACCTTCCCACTGGCAGTGGGCTACTTTTCCAGGATTTCTGGACATGAAGCATTATAGTCAAAGATACTTCTTCAGCTTAGCACAGATCCCAGATGAGCAGACCAGGAAGCTGTACAGTGACAGACAATGCACACAGGTTAAAAGTGGAAGAGCTGGTCAATGCAGGTAAACTCTTACTGTAAGAGTTGAAATGTTTGGAACTCCCCATTCCTTCAATTCTCAATATCAGTGAACCCATTCACTGCATAACCATGAAATGTTCTCCCAAGGTCAGATAGTAGAATAATTTGCTATTCTGCAAATACATGGTTTTCTAAATCTCTTGGAGGGTAAATGACTTTCTTTTTCCAGATCCATCTACTTCACCTTGGAAAGACATCAGGAATTAGGAAAACACTCAGGAAAGCAAGACTTTGCACTATTAAGCTGTGCTGCAAATGGAGCTCAGTATCAACAATTAGCAACAGAAATGTGTTTAGATGGAAACTTGGGAGTCAGGTCAGCAAATACTTTGCTCCACCAAATGTTTGTCTTGACTGAACCAGCTGCAAGATCAGGCGAGCACCTAGAATCTTCTCTTTAAGACAGGACTTCTGAAAAACAAATCAGGCTTTTTTCATTTTCAAAATGCCTTTCCCTCTACTGAAGAGTGTAAATCAGATTAAAATTAAGAATTAAAAATATTTAGGTATTTAATTAAACTATATATCCACTCTAATCCTATCACTGCATTTCTCAAATAGATTTAGCTCTCCACGTGATACTGAGAATGTCAGGATAACCTCAAATATACAGCATTTGTGTTTGAAGTTGCTGTACTCAGAAATCTGTTATATAGAGGTATCCAACATTAAAGGCTCAAATTATGTATGTAGGCTAATTTTAGCTATTAAATAAAACTGAAAAGTTACACAGTGCACTGTTTTCCCCATATCAAGTACTTCTGCCACCTTACACAAGTGCATATACAAGTATCTTGCACATATTAGTTCTATTTCAGTGCACAGGTAACATGAAATCAGCTCATAAAGCACAGAAGTGATTAAGTGGTCTAAAGGTTACAAGTGAATAACAGTTCTGCAGTACTCCTTCTACATGGTTTGCAGGTTTCTGATAACAACAGAGATTGACCTCAAGAAGTTTCATAGCACACGAAAAAAACCCCAGAACTAATTTAAATGACCTAAAAGATCATCTGCCTGTTCAAAATCATTTTCAGTTTGGTCAGCTACAGGAGGATGTCCTAGCTTGGGGATCATCAGAGGGGTTATCTAGATAAATTAAAATTAAAATACCACTAAAATTCTAACCTACTTTGTCTAATCCTGGCTGTGAACTGTTGTTTTCTACAGAAAACTAACTACTCAGTCCCTTAGTAACGACCCAACTTTAATTGGTGACCACAACTGGCTTTTTGTAACGTGATAGGAAGGAACTTCTGGACAGTAATGTTTGGGTAGAACAGGACAATGTAGTTGAACATTCACTCTAACTGCATCCTAAACCATAAAAATGAGACTGTTAGTACATTTGTATTATAACCAGAACACTGTAATATTGGGAGTGACTTGTAGCTTCTTTTTAACCTGCTACAGGGCAGAATCATGAAAATTACTGAAAAAAACCCTAGATTTAGAAACAAATACATATATATTTAGATCATAACTTCTGCACTAAGATACTCCATTTAGCACTGTTTTTCATCAAATGTGCTATATTTCAGTAAAATGTTATTTAACTACTTGTTAGTAATTCGAAAACAACAGAAGCTGACCTAGTAAAAATATATTTAACCACCAAGAGTCTATTGATTTTCAGTGGTATCTATTTAGCATCTCATTACAAAAAAAACCCTCAATCTTATATGAATCATTTACATAACTAAAGAGGTAGTGAGAGCAACATAATTCAATTATAAAACCTGGAAACAGTTTAAACACTATTTGAAAATAAACAGTTACAGTCCCTTATGCCCATGTCTGGGAAGCATCCAAATGGAAGTTAAAAATCCCATGGCATTTTTTCAAACTGGGAGGGAGCTATCCCAATATGCTGGCCAACATATATTTTCTCAATTAAAAACAGATTTCAGTGTCCAAAGCTATATGTCAGCAATTGCTGAGAGCCTGTACCTGCCACATTTTCAGAACATTCCAAACCATCAATAAGTATCTAGTCACCTTGCTGAATAAGGATTTTCCAGATGCCAGGGGTGGAAAAGGTGAATGCATTTTCATAAATACATGAAATACAGATACATTAGCCTACTCTGTTATGAAAATAGAAATCATCATTTGAACCCACATGGATATTTTTTTTTCACTAACAGAAGGGCTAAATAGGACTTTGGTGGCCATATGGAACACTTTGATACTGCCAGACTGTAAAGTCAACAGGAGTCCTGTGGAACACACATACACACACACAAAATAAAGGTAGCAGAAATAATTTATCATCTGCCATTCCCTAACTTCTACATATTTAATGAGTTAAAAGTTTTAAAAAGAAAAGGCTTTTCAACAACTTTTTTTTAGTTATTTTTACAGAATTTTCTAGGTTATAAGCTGTTTAAAGAGAAGGCTGGGAGATTGCCCTTATGTAGTTTAAAGCCTGTATTGACTGTACTACCCTCCACTCAGAGGGTAGTTCAGAACTTCAGTTGCCAATACTGAAGCTCAAAGTCCTGTCCCAAGAACTACAATATCATTTACACTATCTACAGGCAGAACACTGTTGTCCTCGGTTAAAAGAGCAAGTCAGACAATGACTTTTTAAAGAAAAAGTTATAATATCAGAGGAGACCCAGGCTTTCCAATTCCCTCAGTCAACAGATTTTCCAGTGCAATGTCTAAGGTTCCTGCTATTTGGAGTTGAGTCGCCATCTTCATTGTCCAAGTTTGGTTCTTATTTTGCCCTATTACCAAACTCTTAAGTGATACTATTAAGAAAAAGAAACAGGAAAAAGGCAAAAGTACTTCTTTGACTAAAAGTATTACTCAACTTTCACAGTGCAGCTGACCAGTACATCTCAAAGTCAGTCAGGATTGAAAGAAAAACAAAAATATTTTCAGGGAACTTTACTCTACAATCTCATCATCATGTCAGGGCTTCGCGAACGAAGATTTGGGAAGGCTCTATCCACATTTGTTACAGGCACGCTGGTGGCTTTTGAGGCCAATACGAGATAGACATGTCCGATTGCAACTATACAATCTAACTTCCTAACAACTGACAAGACAGTGTCGTTTTTTCTGTCTCTCTTTTTTTTAATCAATTTTTAAAGTACCATTTTACAAAACTCAGAATCCTACTCAGTCACATTTTCAGAATTGTAGAATGAATACATGTACTGCTGAAGGATTTATGGCATATTGAGACAAACTGACCACAACGCAAGCAGAGAGATGAAAACACCTCTTCCCCCAAGGGGATTTGCAGAATTACTTGAGGGAAAGTTGAACAAGCTGGCTTATTCCTGCATTGTGCAATTACCTTTCTATAACAAGAACTTACTGCCAGTTGCCAGATTTATGCAACTCACTGGAAATAGTCTTAATCTAGTTAGCATAGTATAGTTTGTCCCTCTCTTGTGCTACTCCCATGGACATGAAATTTACCATTGGAGCCAGCAGAGGAACAGACTGCACTTGAGGACAATTTACTTCCCTCTTAGAATAAGAACTAAATGCTGGATCTTTGTAAGACAGTAGATGCAGACGTGATTCAAGTCTGGAAAAATATTTTATATTTAACTTGGCTATAGTGCACAGCATACTGAGTTGGGAGGGTAGTGGCTAAGGATGGAGCAAACACAGAGCTGGTAAAAAAAAAAAAATAAAAAAATGCTTTTACTTTCTCAGATAGGTATTAACTAACTTGGCATTGGTAAATATCGATTACCAACTTGCTCTTCCCCACACCATTCGCCCACCCTGAACTGGTCAGCAGTACCACCATCTGCTGCCCTTCTTTGAACTGTGGATAAAGTTAAGTTCTCCAACATCGTGTGTGCTACAATCAACTAATCTAAAAATCATGAGAGAGAAAGGGAGGGAGAAATTGCATTGCCATGAAATACTTTTGCCCACAAGTTCTATCAAAGACAAAACTTCTAAATTTAGCCTCACACTTCAGGCAGTTGAACTGTTATTTTTAATCAAATTTCAAAATATAGGATATTACCAGAAAATTTCTTCTAAAAATGTTTACTTAATTGAATTTAAATCCACTCTACTCAAAAATGAGACTACATGAATACTGTGTTTTCAGTAACTTATACTATTAGTATTCATATTTTTCCAAGGCAAAATATGAGAATAAGCCAGATTTTGAAAGCAATTAAGAGGATACAAATGTTGTGCACTGCAAGAGCACAGTTCTCAAAAGACCAGAGTCCTGGCAACTATCATAATCCTTTTGAAATTGTGCATATTAAGATTAAAGATCACTTTGTTCCTCTATTCCCACAGCTAGTTGGTATGGTAAAAAGATCAGTCTCCTAGTTTTATATGCAACATCTTTAACATTTGCTCTCCTTTCTGTGCATGTGATTAAATGTAACATTTTGAAATCCCAAAGTTCTGAGAAAAACATAAATCCTTGTCCACAGCTGCTGTTTGACTCTGGAAACACATGCATTTTCTTTTCAAGCATCTACCATCAAAAAATCCCAAAGGACTTGAACTGGAGAACACCTGCATCTCTTCATTTAGTTCCAATAACAGAGCCTAAACTTCAAAATTACAAAAATAGATGCTGTGTTCAGCTGCAGTTACATTCTGCCCCTAATTCCCGTGAACAAAAATGCTAAGAGCATGAAATCATTCAGGCAAGCTCTGTCATCGAGAGGATAAGATTTTTTGCACCAGAAGCCCAGTGGGAACTTGATAGAAAACTGGCAACAATTACAGATAAAGTACATAGTGAAATCCTCAGGGAGAGAAAAGGAAATGTAATAAGATAGATGGGTATAATTTTTACACATTTATGTCCAAACCACAAATGTGAATTGTCTTTAATTACTCCAATATAGTAGGCATTTTTATTCGTTCATTGTGTTAAAACTTCCAAGATACTTCAAATTAGTCTATGAATTCTCTTTTACAAGTTTTTTTTTCTTTAAAATTTATTTACTTTTACAAGTATTCATTTAAATTTGAACCGAGGACTTAAAAAATATTGTTCCAGCTTCAAAATCCAGACTTTGTAGTATCCCAAGTCCAAGCAGGCAAAACTAAATAAAAAAATATGTCAATGACAGGCTTTTTTAACTGCAAAAACTGGAAGTTGGGGGCATATGTAGATTTATATGCATAAAACCAAACATATGTAAAAATCTCTCACCTCCTTTCAAGTAGGTTCTAACACATAAAAATCACCTGGTTTATAATAAGAAAAAAAGTTTATGTCCCTACTTTTACGACAATTTTTTCGTATTTGAAGATATGATTTCTTCAGATATTTTTTCCCTTGTTGGAGAAGGGGGTGAATGGAGTGATCTTATCTATATTATAAAATATTGACAGAGGAGAAAAAAAATCCAAAAGTTTTTGGACGTTTGAGGAACTTATCACTTAAACATGAAATACCAACTTTTATAAGATTG